CATCTCAGCAACTCAGGAGGCTGAAGTGGGAGCATTACTTGAGCCCCAGAGTTCAAGTCCGGGCTGGGCAACATGGCAAGACTCTACCTCAAAACAAACAAACCAAAATAGTAATAATAATAATTCATCAGATAGCTAAGATCATTGAACATTTGAGAAAAACACCTAATATTAGAGACATGGGCCAAAGAGAAACAAAGCGCTAAAGAAAATAAACTACATACAGACAAGAAAATGTTTAAAAATAAAAATTTGCCATTAATCTCTTTGAAGAGATTTTCTTCAAAAATGCTATGAGAGCTACAAAACAAGAAAGGTGCTATAGTAAAAGAACATTCGGAGGAATAAAGGGTTTTGTAAATTAAAAATACAATAGCAAAAGGGTTTTTTAAAACTGAAGAAGAATGTTGAAAGATTATGATAAGAAAATCTTCCAGCTGAGAAGGGTAGTGGGGAGGGCAGGAGGATAGGGAGAGATTGTAATCAATACAAAGTTATAGCTGGAAGGAAAAACAAGTTCTAGTGTTCTATAGCACCATACGGTGAATGCAGTTAACAATAATTTAGTATTTATTTTCAAAAAGCTAGAAGCAAGAATTTTGAATGTTCATAACACAAAGAAATTATTTGTTCTAGGTGACGGATATGCTAATTGCCCTGATTTAATAATTACATATTATATACATGTATCTAAATATCACTCTGTATCCCATAAATATGTAGAATTTATCAACCAGAATTAAAAGGAAAAAGAGAAAATCTTCCAGAAAGTAGGAGGAGAAAAAAAAAAAAAACCTCAAAAAACAGAAAATAAAAGAAAATTAAGGCCAAATTGAGGTACAAGATATAAATTACAGGAATCCACTAAGAGAATAGAAAGAAAATAGAGGGGAAGAAATAATCATAGAAATCATTCAAGAAAATTTTTTTAAATTTATTTATTTACTTATTCATTTATTTTTGAGACAGAGTCTCAAGCTGTCTCCCTGGGTAGAGAGCTGTGGCATCACAACTCACAGCAACCTCAAACTTTTGGGCTTAAGTAATTCTCTTGCCTCAGCCTCCCAAGTAGCTGGGACTACAGGCACCTGCCACAACACCTGGATAATTTTGTTTGTTTTTTGTTTTGCGGGGTTTTTTGCTGTTGTTGCAGTTGTTGTTGTTTATTAGGCCTGAGCTGGGTTCAAACTCACCAACCCAGATGTATGTGGCAGGTGCTATAACCACTGTGCTACAAGCACCACGTCTGAAAATTTTTTAGAACTGAAGGATAAGTGTTTCCAGATTGAAAGGGCCCACTGAATGTCTAGTAGATAGCCAAAGTGACACCAAAGCACACTATGATGAAATTGCAGAAACTAAAGACAAAGCATAGATGTTTCTCGGGAACAGGATGTGGGGAGATATCACACGGTCAAGAATCAGAATTGCTTAGGCTTCTTGATTTCAGCATTAGCAACTAGACTAAGATTTGAAGATTTCCTTCAAAATCCTGAGGAAAAAATTTAAATCAAGCCAAATGGCCAATTAAAGGTCAGAGTATAATAAAGGCATTTTCAGATATGCAAGGTCTTAAAAAATGTACTTCCCATACATTCTTTTTAGGAAACTACTAGAGGTGATAATTCATCAAAACAAAGAATTAGATTTAGAAAGAGATGAGAATCAGGGAGCAGGGGACCGAAGAGGGAGAGGAGGGAGAGGGGACACCCAAGATAGCATCCACATCTTGGCCAGCCCAAATTAGACCAATTCAGAGGCAACAGAGCCAGGAACTCTGAGGAAGAGACACTCAACAAATAGCAGGTGCTTCTGCAGGTATCATGAGCAGGTTTACAGACCCAACAGAACATTTGGGGTTGAATTATCAATAATAATACACAAAAACTAACCCAATGAAAAATTAAGATACTCCACTTCAGGGCAAATAAAACCTTATGCAAGAAAGGAAAAGTAGTCTTAATCATGGGACACTCATGGGACACTCACGGTGCATCCACAAATAGTATTCACATCATCATAATAATGTAAACACTGAATACTGATGTATCCAGATCTATGATACAAATGAACTGAGAGCATAAGGAGAGGAGAAATACGAAGGCTTGTGAAAATCTGGAAGAAGCAATAGAAGCACACTCTTTAGTAATTCAGAGGTAAATAGAATCAGTTAATGAGTTGAAAGTGGTTGCCTCTGGGAAGCCAGAAATTAAGAAAAGGGGTGATGACTCTGCAGTTTCTGTAACAAGCCTTGCATAACTTTTAAAACTAAACACATGACTCAACCATGGGTCTGACTGAAAACAAAACTAAACTAAACTAAGCACCTGAGGGCTAGGACCATTTCTCCTTGGAGAAAGAGCTGGGTGGGTACGAGATGAGCCTGGAACTGAGTGTTGTGCCAGAAAGAGGAGCTCAAAGCATGCTGGGAGCAGGTCACTCGGGATGTGAGCCAGCTTGAAAGGGCTCCCACTGGCCACATCTGGGACCAGAATACTTAAGTCCAGTAATGTGTTGTAAACATGTTATTTTAAGGGAAAAAATAGAATTATTAAGTAATATTGAAAATTTATAAATAACAAATAAAAACATAAATGAGGGAGAAGAGATGTCTCTTGAAGAAGGCCAAAAGCCTGCCAGGGACTGTGGAAGGAGTGTATTTGTAATCATCTTCATACTGGATCAGGCAAGGGTCACTGGTGGATACTAATTCTAGGGGAAATTTCAATAAGCAACGGGATATTTGTATGGTCTTAAAGGGTCTATCTACAGGCTGCTTATTCCTTGCGAGGAAGGAAAAATAAAACTAATCTGTAGCTGGCAAAATAGGATAACACCTCAACAGGATGATCAAAATGAGCCACTGCTATGAGGGACAGGTAACCAGGAGACACCTCCAAATGTGATACCCTGAAAAGAACAAAACCTCTCCAATACAGGATGCAGGCCATGATAAGCATACCATCATCTAATCAAAATGAGCTGTTTGTATGATTGGTTCCAGAAGCACTCCAGTAAAAATATAGGTGGGAGACTTGTATCGTTGTGGGTTTTTTTTCAATGCCATTGTTAAAGTCAGAGGAAAGGTGTAGAAATGTCCCAGATTAGGACAACTAATCACAATACCTGACCCTAGACTGGATTCCATACTGAAGGAGAGAAAAGCCAGAAAGGACATTGTGAGAGCAACTGACAAAATTAGAATATGGACAGTGATTGGAGGCAATCGGCACATTGATGCAACTTATGAATGTATGAAGTTGACAACTGTACTAGAGTTATGTAAGAAAACATCCCTCTTTTTAGGAAATATCAGAGTATTTAGAGGTAAAAGACTATGCAATAGGCAGAGTATCCATAAAATTCATGTGCAATTTAAAATATCTTAATTGTACAAAGTTTAATTATATAATTTACCATCAAATAGTTCAGAAAAAATAATTCCAAGAGAGGAAGAACATAATAAAGCAAATAGATTTAAAAATGTTACCAATAAGTAAATCTGGGCATATGGATATCCCTTATTCCATTTTTATTTTTTTTTATAAATTTACAATTATTGCCAGATTAAAAAGTTTAAAAGAAACTAAGCACATTTTGATACTCCCAAAATTTTAATCAAGAACACAATAATATAAGAAATACTGTGTGTTCATCTCAAAGGATAAAATATTACTAACCAGGTTGGAAAAAAGTCATATGGAGCAACCTGAGTAATGAATGTCACTTGGGAAAGACTAATAAACCACAGGTGTCAGAGATATAGATAAGTTACAGATTAGAGCAGTGGTTTTCAGCCTTTTTTATCACATGGCACATTTGAATCCCTTTGTAAACTGCCATGGCATATTTAAACTATATTGATCAAAAAAAGATTTTAAGAAAAGAATATATTTACTGTGCTTCGAACTTCTTTCAAAAACAATTTAATTAATGGGGTTTTGTTGTTGTTGTTGTTGTTGTTGTTGTTTTTGGTAGAGACAGAGTCTCACTTTGTCGCCCTCTGTAGAGTGCCGTAGCATCACAGCTCACAGAAACCTCCAACTCCTGGGCTTAGGCAATTCTCTTGCCTCAGCCTCCCGAGTAGCTGGGACTATAGGCATCTGCCACAACGCCCAGCTATTTTTTTTTTTTTTCCAGTTTCAATGGATACTTTTATTGTTTATTTAACAGATCATGGACTTTGTCTCCCTACCTTCAACTGGAATTCCTCTTGTTTCCATGCTGAGTAGTGAAACACTGACAAAGCTAATCAGAATAAGCTACTTCAAAAAGAGAACTAAGCTAACTAACACAACTCACTTTATTTTAACAGGCCAAATATAAATGTGCATTCATGGTTTAGTCACTAAGAAATTCAAACAGGATCTTAAAGAATATAGGCAAATCCAGGGTACAGGAAAGATGAGTTGAGATGCTGTGCAACTGTTTCTAAGTTCCTGGCACTGCATCTCTTGGACAATAGCTAAATCTTGACTTGAAGGAGGTTTTCAGCTAATGCCAAGTAGAGATGCAGAAAACACTAAGTTGACTTAGCAGCTGTGCACAGGAACCAAAAGGCAGCAAAGTACTAAATATTGCTGAGGGCATCCACCCCAGGAAGGACTTTACCT